CCTGAGGCTGAGAGAGTGTGACTCGCCCAAGGTCACCCAGTGGGTTCCCATGGCTGAGCTGAGATTTGAACCCTGGTCTCCCGAATCGTACTCACTACATCATTCTGGACATATTACCCCTTTTTAAAAGGAAAAAAAAATAATAATAACTGTGTTTATTCTCTCCCATCACTTTCTCAGGGAAATGGTATTTTCTTTCGCCGTGTTCTCCATTTTTCTTGAATGGTCTCAGGAAGATGGAGCTGGGCAAGGAGGGGGAAGACATGCTATTCCTTCTCAGGCATTTAAAGTCAGCTTCATCTGCCTGAGGAAGGCTTTTAGGGCTTTATTTTTCTCAATAAAGAAAGCCCCCCCCTTCTGTTGTGCTTGGTTGCCTGGGCAACCCCAAACTGTGTGGGGTTTTTTTAAAGATACCATCAGCCTTCAGTACAATAACACCCCATATCCACAAAACTGTGATTCATGTATGGGGCCAGCCAAGCAAAATGCATAAAATGCATGTCTCAAAGCTCCACTGGTTTCTTCATCAGGCAAAGGTGTTTAAAAAATTATTGACGTTGTTGCGTGCCTTCAAGTTGTTTCTGACTTACGAGGACCCTGAGGTGATCCTCTCATCGTGGGGTTTTCTTGGCAAGGTTTGTTCAGAGGAGGTTTGCCATTTCCATCCTCTGAGGCTGAGATAGAGTGACTTGCTCAAGGTCACCCTGTGGGTTTCATGGCCAAGCTGGGAATCAAACCCTGGCCTCCAGTAGTCCAGCACTCAAACCACTCAGAAAAAAAAAATTAGGATGATGTTAGTCACAAGCCTGCCTTTTGTCAAGATGTAGCTGTTCTTAGTTCAGGTGTTATTAGACTTTGCTATCTGGCCTACAGGGTTACCCTTGGATATATTCTCTCAGGCTGTGTCCACACTGTAGAAATAATCCAGTTTGACACCACTTTAACTGCCATGGCTCGATGCTATAGAATTCTGGGGATTGTACTGTAGTTTTGTCAGATATTTAGTCTTTTGTGTCAGAGAGCTCTGGTGCCACAACAGACTACAATTCCCATAAAGTGCTGTCAAACTGGATTATTTCTGTGGTGTAGATGCAGCCCAGTGCATTTTTACAATTGAGAGGACTTAATCCCTGGCAGGATACTTTGGGTCTCGCATGCTCTCTTGGAAGTTCTGAAATACTATTGAAGCGTGTATGTATGTATGTATGTATGTGTATGTGTATGGGGTTCATTTAGGTCAGAGGTGGATGTACCTTTGGGCTTTCTGGACAGGGTGGGACTCTAGCTCCCATCATGTTAGCTGTGACATTGATGGCGGGAGGTAGCAGAGTGCCGCAACATCTTTGGAGAGAAATATTTGTAGGAGTCAAGCTTTTGAGCTCCTTCTATAAGTAGATTTGTTGTTGTGTGCCTTCAAGTCATTTCTGATTTATGGCGACCCTAAGGCTTAAGATTACCTGGTGGGTTTCCTAAGGCAATCCTATTATGGGGTTTTCTGGGGCTGAGAGTGTGTGACTTGCCCAAGGGCATCCAGTGGGTTTCCATGCTTGAGAGGGGAATTGAACCCTAGTCTCCAGAGTCGTAGTCCAATGCTCAAACCACTACTACATCATGCTGGCTCTTTATATGTAGATACTTAGTAGAATTTGTTGTTGTTGTGTGCATTCAAGTCATTTCTGTTTTATGGCAATCCCAATGTGAACCCATCATGGAGTTTTCTTGGCAAGATGTGTTCAGAGGGGGTTTGCCATGGCTTTCCTCTGAGGCTGGGAGTATGTGACTTGCCCAAGGCCACCCGTTGGCTGAGCCAGGATTTGAACTCTGGTCTCCAGAGTCATAGTCCAGCACTCTAACTACTACACCACATTGGCTCTTGTACTCACTCATTCTATTTCCATGTCCTTACTCAGTGGAATAAGGACATGGAAATATTGTAACACCAGTGCTGTTTTTAATACCTGCGTGGAAAGGGGGACGCCTTGGCAGGTGCTGTTTCTCCTCCTGAGGGAGTGAGAAAAGTGGAACTGTGCTGACTACGGATGTTACCTCTTCTGTAGAGTTGTCCAAAGATTATCTCTTTTGCACATTTCATAAAAGGACCACCCTGATTTCCATAATCCCCAGCATCTCATGCACTCACTTTCTTGATGGTGAATCAACATGTAGGCAAATCCAATTCATTCAATGGCCCTACTTAAGTCTCTGTCAGGAAAGGTTTTGTTGTACCAGGCATAGTTTGTTGCTGTTGTTGTTGTTTTGTGCCTTCAAGTCATTTCCTACTTATGCCTATGGTAAATATATGTAGTAGTCAAGTGTTTGGACTCCCTCTATAAGTAGAGTAGTAATAATAGTTGTTATGTGCCTTCAAGTCATTTCTGTCAAGAAGGTTTTGTTCTACCAGGCATGGAGTTTGTTGTTGTGTGCCTTCAAGTAGTTTCCTACTTATGTCAACCCTAAGGTGACTCGTTCATGGGCTTTTCTGGGGCTGAGAATGTGTGACTCACCCAAGTTCTCCATGGGTTTGCATGGTGGAGCAGGGAATCGAACCCTGATCTCCAGAGTTGTAGTCGAATGCTCAAACCACTACACTACACTAGCTGTCACTAGTTACCACCATATCACCTTACCACATTATCACCCTGATCTTACCTGATTTTGGAAGGTAAGCAGGGTTGAGCCTGGTTAATATGTGGATGGGGCATTAGGGATTTCCTGGTGGAACTAGGAGCGATTTCTGCCTGAAACCCTGGAGAGTTGTTGCCTCTACTTGGCTAGATGGACCAATAGTGTGACTTAGTTTAAGACAGCTTCTTATGTTCCTCTATAGAATTTTTGCGGGAGATGCAGTAGAACAGGGACCGGCAACCTACGTCTCGGGGGCCGGTTAAGGCCCCAGGCCCCGGACTTACCGGCCCAGACCGAAGGTTGCCGCCGCTGCCACGCGCCGCCATCGGGGCACGTTTTCGGCTGCACTAGTCGCGGCTGCCATTTTGGAAGTCATAATGGCGGTCGCGATGCGTTTGCGCATGCACAGTACTCTTGCGCATGTGCAAACGCGTCGCAGCTGCCATTTTGACTTCCAAAATGGCAGCTGCGACATGCGCTGTGGCGGCTGCGGCCGTGCGCGCTATGGTGGCGGTTGTGGTAGCGGCCGCGGCAGCAGCATGCGGGGAGGGTTGTGTGTGATCTCAAAAAGGTTGCCTGTCCCTGCAGTAGACGTTGTCCATACAATGAGTTGTATTGTAGAAATAAGCACCTTGTGTCGTGGTGAGCTTATCCCCATAATTTATTATCAAGTTGTTTGATAAGCAGAGTTTCCTTTAATACTTAACACGGAGAGATAGAATGGTGTAGTGGTTTGAGTGTTGGACTAGGACTCTGGGAGGCCAGGGTTCGAATGTCCACTCAGCCATGGAAACCCACTGGCTGACCTTGGACAAGTTACACTCTCTCCCTCCCAGAGTAAGGCAATGGCAAAAATCTGTGGAAGCGCAAGTCCCATTGAATACAGTAGTGTAGTAAAATGGTGTCGCTTATATAAAATGGAAAAACCAAAGTTTGCTTTTTAGAATTTACATATTTTTAAAATATTTTCAAGCTGTGGATGCTGAAATCCATGGGTAAAGAATATGGAGGGCTGACTTTATAACCATTAATCAGAGTGAATCTGAGTAAGATTGTGTACTGTATATGATTGTACTAGTAGCCATTTGAAACTAAAATGTTAACCTAAATTTAGAAAAGAAGGTTATATTGTAGCAGTGTAGTTGTTTTTTAATTTGACTTTATGGCCAATGATAAGAAATATGATTCTTTCAGTTAAAGATTAGCTATTGTTTCTATTGAAGTACTTAATCTTATTCTTGCCTTAAATTTATACCTATTTCACACATTTGCAGTGGCCCCTAGTACATTTGACTTAGAATTAGGTCCCAATGTCAACAATGGGCATCCCTATTAATTGTGTTTAGGCTTGCAGCCTCACTAGCTTAAGGAAACATGTTTCAAAATACTTAAAAAGAAAAAAGATTACTAAGGAAGTATACTATGCTTACTGCCATGGGCCCCAGGTAGGGGCTTGAGAGCTGTCAAAGCGTGGGTTGGGAGTGTTGGGCCCCCCTGAAATGATCTGGCAAGATTGGAGCAGCAAGGTGCCTATGCAGTTGAACCTCCTCAGGCATCAGTGCTACTAAATGATCAAAACTTGTTCAGTCCTTCTAGGAATAATAAAGGCTGCCTGTAATCAACCCTCTGAGAATAAGCTATACTGAACACATGGAAAGTACTGTACTGCAAGTCTTTGTAAGAGTCTTCTTATTTAAGAATTCAAAGACATAACAGCCTTTACAGACTGACAGAAATAATGCAGCTTGAGATCACTTTAACTACCCTGACTCAGTGCTAAGGAATCATGTGAACTGTAGTTTATTGTGGCACCAGAGCTGTCTGACAGAGAAGGCTCAATGTCTTAGACAAAAAACTACAATTCCCATGATTCCCTAGCACTGAGTCAGGACAGTTAAAGTGGTCTCAAGCTGCATTATTTCTGTCAGTCTGTAAAGGCCCATAGCCATGTTAGTCTGGAAAATCAACATGCAAAGGGATCTTGTAGCACCTTGGAGACTAATTGAAAGAAAGAAGGTGGTAGTATGTGCTTTCATAAAGATCCTTTTGTATATCTATTTAAGAATGTTTGAATGTGAATGAATGGAAAAATAGTTTGTCCTTGCAAGTAGCTGCAAGCAGGCAAAATTACCGGTAATGATAACCTATCTTTCTTTTCGTTTCTTTCATCTTTCCTTTCTCCTTAAGCCTAGCTTGGTTTCCTTGGGGAGCTATTGGTTGCCTTTACGAAAACAGTGCCTATTCTCATCTATTGTCAAAGGAGTCCTGATGGACCGTTTCCTGTTGAGTAGTGCAATTGTATCTTTTGAAAGAACACTAAAAATGGTCAGGAATGGAAAGCAACAGAATGTTGTTGTTGTTGTTAACTGCCTTTGAAATGACCTTGATTCATGGCAACCCTGTGAATGAAACAACTCAAGAATCCCCTATTCTCAATCTCTCTACTCAGGTCCTACAAGTTCAGGCCTGTGACCTCCCTGATTTAAGTCTAGCCATCTGGCATGTGCAAACAAAAATACACTATATACTTGCAAGCTTTTGAAGCTCCATGGGCTTCTTCATCAGGCAAGATATTACAAACCAAACAAGAGAAAAACAATTGGAGGTTTTCCTCTCTTTCTATTATCTCCTACCTTTCCTAGCAATATTGTCTTTTCTAATGAGCCATGCCTTCCCAAGGTGTGTCCAAAGTGTGACAGCCTCAATTTGATCATCTTGGCTTCCCAGGAGATTCAGGCATGGTCTGTTCTAGGACCTATATTTTGTCTTTTGGGCTGAGCAATGGAATAGAGATAAAACATTATGGTATTCCAACCTTCCCTCATAATTTTATGTATACCTGTTATTCAATTTGAGGCTTAAATAGCACTGATCAAAGGAATAAGATTTATGTTGTTCTGTGTCCTTGTCTCTTTCTCACTGTAATGTCAAGGTAAACCAGACAAATAAATAAGATTGGAAAAGTTGCTAGCCAATTTGTTTTTTACTAGCCTGCTGAAAGCCTAGTATCCCATGTTTTTATGTTTACTGTGGAGCAAGGGTTTCCTTTCCTACATAACCAGCGGGGAGATGGACTACAGGCCTCTTAGGAGACCAGTGGAATAAGGATGCCAAAAATTAACCCTCTTCTGTCAGCCTACTGACTCCTGTACATTAAGCTCCTCTTCACCTGTGGCTTCTAAAAGAGTTATTAAAATCAAAGCTGTGGTAAGCAAAATATATGATGTGATATCATCATGCTGTACTATTCTCAGCATCTATTGCCCATAGACTGAAGTGTCAGAAGGGCAAAGCGACAAACAGTGCAGCGATGTCATGGTAGTTATGAGGGTATGAAGGGGTTACAGAGTGAGGGCAGGGCTGTGTCTCATTTAATCCTTCAAAATATCAAATAACTGGAAATAGTACACATTTATAGTTGAAGGATGTTGGTGAAATCTTTTAGTACTGGTTAGGGCTACTCAGTATGAAAACTGCTGTGCATCCATTCTGCATAGCGTGGTATATAAATGAAGCTGCTTTGCTTTTGCTGCATTTAGAATTGTGGCATGAAATTAGCCCAAGGTGACCTTTCTGTGCATGCAGAAATAGATGCATGAGTAGTTCACTGAACACTCAGATCATCAGCTGACCCACTTGTTGAATTGAGTAATGCTTGTTTTTTGTTTTTTGTTTAAATGGGTCAACTCATTGTGAATTGTCTGGCAGTCTAAATTCAAGGTGAGCCACACAGGAGAAGAGTATATTTAGGTTAGATTGATTTTTGGTCTGATCCCAGCAGTTCAGAATGGTTGTGTGAATCAAATTCTAGACATGTATTACATAGGAAACATAGTTGCCATTCTCCAGGTATTGTGTTAGCCAATTTGAAGAATTCTCTGACCAAGGTTGAATGAAGGGCCTGGTGAATGTCTTCCAACTCTCTGCTAGGCTTAAAGATGCAGGTATATTAACATTTGACACTTGCTTCCTCCAGATGTTCAAGGTAGTTAATTATGGTAGAATGATGTCTCAATAAGCATTCAGTTTCCAATGGTTATCTTGCTTTGTTTCCACTTTTCTTGCCAGAGCAGATCCTGAAGAAGATGTCATTTTGAGATGCTTTGCAAATACATGGCACTATACTGAATTTATAAAGTAGTCATTCCACTTCCTTCTTATATTGATTATAACATAACCTAAATTTGGATAATACTGGCTATCTGCTAGGTGACCCATTGTAATGTAATGTGTTCTTTTATCCTATACCATGTTGATAGAGAGACTTCCAACTAAGACATATATGTTAGACTTTACCGGGTCAAGATATCAGCAATTGGAATTTCATTAATTGTATCTCCACAACAGAATTGCTTTACGTCTCTCTTTGTCTGTCTCAGTTTCTCCATGTTCCTCTGTTTGATATGGACCGAAAATCAGTAGGCTGGTCCTGTGAGTCCTGCTTTAGAACCTTGTTGTAAATTTGTTGTTAGACATAACTTGACCTTCTATAGAAATATTTTGAATTCAGGAGAGAGCCAACATGGCATAGTGGTTTGAGCATTGGACTTCGACTCTGGAAACTAGGGTTTGAATCCCCTCTTGGTCATGATGCCCACTCAGTGATCTTCAGTAAGCCACACTATCTCAGCCTCAGAGGAGGGCAATGGCAAACTCCCTCTGAACAAATCTGCCAAGAAAACCCCATGATATGGCGCCTTAGGGTGTTCCATGATATGGCACCTTAGGGCGCCATAAGTCAGAAATGACTTGAAGGCAGACAACAACAATTGCGTTTATTGTCTATAATAGTTTGGAACGTGGAGGGTGAAATTCCAGGGTTCCCCAAAACATATTTTGGAATGACCCTCTAGCAAGGAGTAGAGATATTGCAACACTGTTTCCCTATCTAATCCACCATGACTCTTAAAGAGGCATTACATTTCAATCCTCTACCTTTCATACTTGTTTGTGTTCTAAGAATGGCTCATTCA